CTTGGCTTACTGTGTTCTTCCAGCCTCCTGTTTGTCTATAATAAAATATCTCTCATTGACTGGCCAGGAGGCATGAACAGTCTAATAATTTATCAGTGAGTAAAAGAGGTAAATACACACTCCAAAAGAAAATGCAATAGAAAATATTAACAACTTTCTAAATATTGAAGCAGCTTTCTCCTTGACATCTTGCAAAGAACACTAAGTGTAAAGTTCAGTTATATAAGCAGCCCAATTGCAACTATCTGAAGTAGCAAGCTGCTGCCAAATCCAAGCTTCATTTGGCTATAGATCAAGTTAATCATATTTACTACCACATCTCTCCCTTCTGTGGAGTTACAGCCATGTGATTCTATTCCCAGTGGGAGCGGGGTGGGGGGAGGTGTTGATCAGTAGTGTGCTTGGTCTTAATTTGGAAACAGATTTGGCTGACGTCCACCAGTTCTTGGAATCTGTTCAAGTGGCCAAATACTGGCCAACAGCCCATTACAATGCAATTAACTGTCTCGTGTGCCAAAAAGTGGAACTGTTTCTGGTCAATTTGGAAAGACTAGGTAACAATAACAAAAGTTGCTCTTCGTGTAGAATTCTGTTACAAATAGGAGGTTTATAAGATAATATTATGTTTTGGAACAGTGTATTCATTTAATTTAAAAATGAAGGGGATCATGTGACCTATTCTGACATCTGTCTGGGTGATTTGATTGTTAGTGATTAAAGACAGCCCAGATTCTTTAACTAAGAGGAAGGCACAAAATGCTTACCCTTGAAACAGTGGGTATCCTGTGTGCAAACAGTGGATTAACTGCATGTCTCCAAACTCCAAGAAACGTGCACAGAATTACAGGTTGTAAACAATTGCACTCTATACTGTCTATTTAGTTCAAAGATGAAAGACAGTAAGGCTTACAAGGATAACTTGCAGCACCTCTCCCTGAATGCAAACTCCATTTGGTTCACATTGCCAAGGCGATTCATCGCAAGATTGCAGGAACATAGGGGAAGCTTTTGCCCTTTCAAGCATCCTCCATTTAGGCTCTTCTAAAATATCTGAATATCACAAACAGGGTAGTCTGCTGGACTGTGGGATAGAGGGATGAGTTATAGGGTGGACTTCTTGATAATTCAGCATGCAGGAATGCAGGCGAGAAATTCATACTGGGATCAAAAAGTCTAAACTCTCAAGAAGATTTTTATTTAATTCATTCACGGGTTTGCTGGCTGGCCAGCATTTATAGCCTACCTCTAATTGCCTTTGAGATAGTAGTGATGAGCTATCTACTTGAACTGCAGCAGTTTATTTGGTGTAGATACGCCCACTGCACCGTTAGATGATTGATTTGGAGAGGAATTTGTAGATGTTGATATACTCGTGTATCTCCTTGACCTTCTGGATGGTAATAGTCATGGGTTTGGAAGTTATAATGAAGCTGGAAGATTCACCTTGCTTGTGCTAGAGGGAAGATCAGTTCTGGGGTTAGAAATTACCAGGTGAAGAAGGAAAAACAGTAGAAATAAACCCCAATTCATTATGGACTGATTCCAGGAGATTTGAACACCTAAAGTACAGAGTAACATTTACTTGTGAAGTATAAGGAACTCAGTGATAGGAATGCTGTTGATTACAAAGTGAAGAAGGTTAGACTCTTTCCCATTGGATATGGGAATTCCTTAATAATTGTGTGGCACAAATTTTACCTATCAGCTCAAACCCAAATGTTGTTCAGGTCTTGCTGATTATGGGCATAGACTATTTCAGTTTCTATGGAGTTGCAAAAGAAGTGTTCATTGTACAAATCAGTGAACATCCCAATTTTTGACCTTATGATAGATAAAAGTCATTGATGGAGCAGCTTGGAATTGCTGGGCATAGGTTATTACCCTCAGCAACCCTGAGATGATTGACATCCCACAAGCATCTTCCTCTGTGCTAGTCAGAGGAGAGTTTTCTCCAACAACTTCCAAGTGCCATCAATATTGCAAACTCCTTTTTCACCTTTGCCAGCATCTCAGATTGACATCATTTCCACAGAAGTACAAGTTTCAGAACTACTGAGACCTTTGGTGGCTACTTTGGCATAATATTGTATAATCAAAGTCATATCTTAAATTGTTACAGAGATAGTAGGAACTGCCGATGCTGGAGAATCTGAGATAACAAGGTGTAGAGCTGGATGAACACAGCAGGCCAAGCAGCATCAGAGGACCAGGAAAGCTGACGTTTCGGGTTGAGATCCTTCTATCAGAAGGGCAGGAAAGCTGACGTTTCCGTTTCCCCTTCCCCTCCCCCATTTCTGAAGAAGGGTCTCAACCCGAAACCTCAGCTTTCCTGCTCAGCTGTGTTGTGTTCATCCAGCTCTACACTTTGTTATCCCACATCTTAAATTGAATGGTTATACTCAGCACTGCCAACATGATAAACCATTATGAAGTGAAATGAAATGACGCTATTAGCAGCATCATAGTCAGTTTTCCATTGAATCAAGGGTGAATCTACTTGGTGCTGTGCAGCTCCCTGCGTGTCTTTATGCACCTGAACAGTTTCTCAATTCACATTATCTTTGGACACATAAGAAAGGGCAGCCCAGAAAACAGTGGGTACAGGAGTGTAGAATTTGCCTACTTTTCTTTCCTACTCTGTCACTGATATGCATCATCATTAACAGTCTGGGGATTCAAAATGCGCTGGAGAAGTTGTTGCCATTCTGAACAGTTGCTGGCAAGCTCCATTCGGTTGTTAAGGTCAATGCTGCAGGAAAGACAGCTTCAGAGTGCTTTTGTTGCATCTTCTTTGTCTTACCCTGAAGTGCTGGCTATTTGAGAGTTGAGAAAACAGGAGCTGACAGGGATACACTTTCTAGTTATCTGGATGCTGTGTTCAGACCATTGCAGTTGACTTGAGAGACGTTTGGCCTGAATGCTTATGGAGCTAGCATCAAGGAGGGCACTGGCATTTGTTTAATGATTCTTCCATTGAATTAAGCCGATGCCACTGGTGGAATGCTAGTGCTAGGTTAATTTTTCTGCTGTTAGACAACCAGCTCACTTGTAGTATGGCAGCATGATGACACAACCACTGTGCACACTTGGACTTTTGTGGTCTTGCATTAGTCTTTAGTCACATATGTGCTATTGAGCTGGCTCAGCCAATCCAGTGTTCGATCTCCTCGTCAACGGTGATCTTTGAGAGGGACGGGTGCCAAGGTGTCAGAGTGCTCAACATATTCCGGAGACCCCCTTTGAACATTTGCTGAGGTGAAATATTTGACTGACAATATCTGGATTGACATTTGAGCTTTGTTCTGGCAATGTTCAAGGACAGGCAAACACTATTGTATGTCGAACTGAAGAGATGGAGAGTGATTTGCTAATTTAGTGCAGGTTGGGCAACAATACTGTAGACCTCCATATCCTGTAGATCACATATGTCATTGGTAATCAGAGATAGTAGGAACTGCAGATGCTGGAGAATTTGAGATAACAAGGTGTAGAGCTGGATGAACACAG